GAAAACCAGAGGGAACCGTATTACTCCTAAAACAAATTATACATAGCAGATCAAGAAATATATGTCTAGGTAAGGTTTCTCTGAGAATAATTGGTCTTTGCCCAAGATTTATCTACATGACATACAGTAATTAAAAGTACCAAACTGGTACTAACCTTCTTGGATGTTTAACAGACATACTTTGAGGCCTTTAATAATTTGGTCAGAGGCACATAAAGAACAGTTTTTGCTCCTTGCCCTCCTAGGTCGACTAGTTCCTGGGGACTATGAACATATCTCAAAATGTCCTGTAATTGTGGTGGGTCACCTGTCCTCTTGATCAAGGAGGCCGAGGAGACCCCACCAGATGGTCTTGAACCAGTGTCCAGTCTACAAAGAGGAGGGTCAACACAGAGGAATCATTTCCTCCATGCTTCCAAGTGACGCCAACCATGGTCAAGCAGGACCTTTGACTTGTCTTCACATAGGCAGAATTAGTAAAAGAAAAGAGCCAGGGGCTCCTCCCAAGGCCATGTAACCCCGAAGAACAGATCCTCAAAAGACCTTAAGAGTAAAAATAAATTGGTTTATCTGGGCCAACTGTATGGCCTTAAACACCCAAGAGGAAAATATAACCAAAGATTAAAGGGGCCAATATAATTTCTTAGGAGTCCATATGCATAGCTAAAGGCTACATAACAAGCAGCAATGCTAGATAGGAGATATCTTCTTTTGAGTTGTTGGCCAGGGTGGCCAAAGGGACTCCCAGATAGTAACTTAGCATAGAACTGGGAAAATGAACAGCAGACCCCAATCTTATCTAAAGGAATATTGACACCTGACTGCTGCAAGATGAGAAACAGCTGACCTTCCTAAAACAAAGACCTCTAGATAGGTTGACTAGATTCATTGGAAGGAAAAGTAGTGGGGAACAGCTGGGGGTACTGACAACACAGCAGACAGTAGCAGGGATATCAGAGTATAAGGGCTCTAGTGGTGGGAGGGAGGCTATGGGAGGGTGCCACCTGGGAAGTCAGTATATAGTTGAGTAAGATGGTTTGGGATGTTCTGTGTGATACACACACACACACACACACACACACAAAATCAAGAAATTTTTTTTTTAAGGTTGTGT